TTTTCTTCTCATTTGTAACTGTTTTCTTCTCTTCTCGTCCTTTTGATGTCTCTGAACAATTCCCATCTCTCTCTATCAAGCTTAAATCCATCATATATCTATGAATATTTCTTCTTGTGTTTTCCCTTCCTCCAACTTTTAGTTGTTCTTTAGACTAGACCAATGTGTTGTGTTCATCCATTGAGCACATGCAATTTTGCTTGTTTTTGCTGACTTCTCTTCAATAAGTATGGACTCTGTGGTACTGAGAAACCAGTTCAGTTTAACTTCTTTATTTTCACCAACTATATGTTCTGTAGGGAGTCCAGTTTTCCATAGATACGTGGGTTGCTTGTAATGCTAAGTAAGGGTCTGGCTGCTTTGTACTCTTATTTTTTTACTCTGATGCCAATTTGATTTGTTACACTGCCAGTGGAAAAAGATTTTAAAAGTATAGGAATATTATCTGGGATTTTCAGAGAAGGCTGGCTGATTCAAACACAGCCTTCATTTTCCTCACAGACTCCCCCCTCCCCCCCCGCCTTCCCCAAATCTGGTTTAATTGGATCTTTTTGTTTGCATATTTGTATCTAGATCGGCCCTAAGAGCATCCAGTTGCTGTTGGCTTAATGGAGTGTAGATAACGAAAAATCTTACTCCCATTTTAAAATTCCAGTTTCTGTTCCTGGTTAGATACCAGTCCAGTCCAGATGGAAGAATCAAACTTTTTATATAACAGGTTGAAAACAATGCAACATAATTCTGACCTATGTCCAGATATTGGGTATGCACCAACTGTGCATACCCAATATCTGGTATAAGGCCCTGACTCCTGGACACATGCAGATGGGAAAAGGAGTACACACATGTGGTTGGTTATGACTTGCCTTATGTGTATACAGATACCTAGTTGGTCAACTCTTAAATAATTTAATGCAAGTAGGAGCATACATTAAGAGCAGCTAAACAGTGCTTTTAAGGTGAGGTGACAGAGACAAACTTGTCATTTTAATGTAATTTTCTTTTAATCCAAAATAATTGCATCACTTTTTTAAAACAGGATTTGGATTTATTGCTCATGGATGTGCTTTAGCTAGTCCATCGCAGCTGCTTTGTGTGTTCAGTCTTGTTCTACAGCAGGGGTGGGCAAAATATGGCCTGTGGGCTGGATGAGGCCCACCAGGCCATTCTATCTGGCCCATGGGACCCCTAAAAAAATTTAGAAAATTAATATTTATCTGCCCCTGGCTACCTGTCATGCAGCCCTTGATGGCTTGCCAAAACTCAGTAAGTGGCCCTCCTCCTGAAATACTTGCCCGCCCTTGTTCTACAGCATCATAGAATCGTAGAAAATTAGGATTGAAAGGTACCTCAGGAGGTCATCTAGTCCAACCCCGTGCTCAAAGAAGGACCATCCCCAACTAAATAATTCCAGCCAGGGCTTTGTCAAGCTGGGCCTTACAAACCTCCAAGGATGGAGATTCCAACCTCTCCAGGTAACCTGTTCCACCCTCCTAGTGAAAGAGTTCTTCCTAGAGGTGCACCAGTATATTGGTTGCATATTGGATTGGCACTGATTAAAAAGAAAATCAATGTTATCAGTAATCAGCTTTTTTGGGGGCAATATAGCCAATAATGTCACCAATTAAATGCTGCGGGGC